GGGGAAAGGGGTGTTTGGGGGTGTTTGTATAAAATGAGTTGTTAAGAGGGCTTCATCGTGAGAACAAATCATCCACTACTCCATAGCTGTTTGAGAGTCTCCTCCTTCGAAGCCCAAATCTCGACAAGTTGCCGTCCTCACGTCCTGTCATGTTATCCCCCACGAGCTGCTCATATTAGTTGAGTTTTTCTTATTACCTTTGTTGCGCGGTTTTAGAACTAGCCATACCTTAACTTAGTGCTTTCTACCGTCTACCAAGTGCAGAATTGCACATTTGTTGTATTGTATTATGTCCTACTTTACACGTGTAAAAGTTATTACATCAATTACCTACGTAATATTGGTTATGAAAATGCTTTCAAGAGCACTTTTGAAGGAAATAGAAACAGCCCTTTAGGATCTGCAAGTTAGTTTTCTTTTAACATTCTGAAATGAAAGATTACGATAGGTGAAGAGGTAGCATTCAAAGGTAATCCCTATCATAAAATGCGCACTGGCGCAACTATCCGCTAACAAAATTGTCAGTGATTTTTTTTTTTCTTCTACAAACAGCTTAAGAGAATGCAAAACACTGTTACCTGACATGCGCCAGTACCGATTACTATCAAAGGGTTTAAGTAAATGGTAGAAGGATTGGCTACTGCACTGGCGTATTGACTTTTAGTACAAGGATAGCTTACTTAACTCTGCGCGCGACCCGTCAGCGGGACACTTGACAATAAGCAAAAATGCTATGGGATTCAAAAAAGCCAAATTTGAAATACATTGTGGTATAAAAAACAAAACAATTCTCTCACCGCTCCAAAATATAGTTTGCATTTAAAAAGTCATGACCTGTTTTTGGAAATTATGAGAGACAAACGTTGGAGCACATAAAGTTAGTTTATTATTAATTTAAAAGAATAAAAACCAATATTCGCAAAAGAAGCCTTTTTTGAGAAGGGCTAATAGGTTTACAAACTCGGCTTTTTTCGTTTCAGAAGAAAAGCTTATGTCACCCTAAGAATTGCCACACTGTTTTTCTTTTCTTTCATTTCATAAAACAGCTACAAGAATTGCAGTTAGCTGTTTTATTTCTGTTCGCGTGTCTGAAGATGCTGCAGGAATAAAAAACTAGCTGTATGCTGCAAGATAAAAGTAACTGGATGAAACATCAACGAACTGAATAATTAAGCAGGCTGCATTCAGTTCGAACCAAAAGTTTATGGTATTTTCAGCTAAAATATGTCGGAAAATACTAGAAACGATGCACATTCCTGATATGTTTTTTGGCAGATTTTTATATATCAAAATCCTGATAATAAAAATTCATTTGTATGCAAAAATATAAGTACTATGTATAGATCGGACCTTTCCAGATATATGTCGGAGATGTTGAATGTTGGAAAAATTTGAAGTTTAATTTTTGTTGAGCCAAAAATGTGCACTTCGAGGCACAAGTTATGAAGAAATTGGCGAAATCAAGCAGCCAATTTTAGCCTATCTGTTATTGATAAAACATGTAAAATTACAACTTGTAACCTGGAAAAGTCAGGCCCAGGTTGATAGCCATTTGGAAAATGACTGGCAAGATAAGGCGACGCTCCAAATGCTGAGGAAGTGGCGGAAGCACTGGACTGAGAAGTAGATGAACCAGCAATAACAGTTCCGGATCCGCTAGCGGACTGTATGGCACTTCCTGCAGCCCGATATCCTGAAAATCCGATCGGCGATGTATCCAGCGATGTTAAACTACCCGGCGTCGAGTTGGCCGCCATTCTCAGCAATCGCTGATGCACCCGAGCTGGAAAAAGATTGGATTATCGAGCATAAATTAAATCACAAGTTGGCTTGGCCTAATACACGGTGTGACGATAGGAGATTTGTGACCACTAAAACTTAGGTACCACGGTTAGCGACCAAAATGCGTAATCTGCAACCCGTTTATTTATCAGCACGTGGTGCATTTGGCAACGAAATACGAGGAAAATAATAATATGTTTGAATTAGTAATAAGTAATATTAGCGTCAATATGCCGCTTTTTTTTCTGTTTCACTTTCCTTATAAGCAGCTATAAATTGTGTGATGTCATTACCATACTTGAAATAAGACCGATATTCATGAGCTCCACCTCAATGCAGTCTAAGGCTGGTAACGCTAGATACAAATTAGTGATGCTCAGCACATGCCAGCGAAATTTCGAAACGATTAAAACCTTGCCAGAGTTTCGTCGGGGCAAACGTTGAGCTGCCAATGCCTTCTGAAAGCTAAATGAATGCCAGGATTGCCAGCAAACTTACTAACGGGCGCTGTAACGCTGGTCAAGGCAACTGAAGAAGTTGCCAGCTACACATTCGGAGAGCACGTTACGAACTGCAGCTGATCAAAGGACCGGAGTAAAAGTGTCGATGGGCTGGTTCAACCCATTGATTAGAGCGTTTCATTTATGGATTTTTGTACGTTTGTTTCCGAAGTAAGAGCCAACGAAACACTAATATGTGAGTTTACCGACAAAAAGATCTTAGTTCTCAAATAAACTCTGTTAGTACTGCAGTGCTCTGCCTATTTTTGCTAAGGATATTCGGATTCCCCAGAATGTTCTGGAAATGTAGCAAAATGTCGAGTACGTAAATTATGTTACACAGAAATAATTTATATGGGCCACATGCTTCTGAAATGCCTAATGCGATACAAGACAAGAATTATAAAAAACAGCTGCTCGTTAAAACTCTGCTGGTGCAAATTCAAAAATTAATAGCTTAACAGTGTTATTTGAAATATACAATTGGATTATAATGTTTGCTAAGCTGGCAACATCTGTCACATACTGCCACGGCACCGACTATACCAACGTTCAAAATCAAATTGCCAGCAATACCATCCTAGATTAACCTTTCCTTTGCCAGACTTCAGTTTTCGGATTGAAAATACGATTTTTCGGATTCTGTTAATTAAAAAAATATGTAAATGTCTATAGCACTGCTTTCTGTATTTGCCCAAGTGTGATCGGGCAAATGCAATGATAATGCTACAGATATTTGCCTCGCTTGCCACAAATGTGAACCCTTATCTTTAGACGGAAGAAATCTCTCACAACTCAATTTGAAAACGAAAAAACGGTTCCCTTCAAAATTCTATAAAGTCACACCATCTTTAGAGCTTTTCGAAAGCAATTTTTGAAAGTGGAGATCAAAACTGTTTTCGTTGCAGATACCTGTTGCTAGCAAAGGGGCACCTCACCAAAAAACAGATGAGTTTTTGCTTTCCTTGAAACGTGCATGTGATGAGGGCTTCAGATGAATAAAAATTTTAACACTAAAGCAATTTCTCCCTGTCTCTCATACCCTCTTCTCGCTGCAGTGACTGCGGTGCAAGTCACTGAATAAAATTCAAATTTTTCCGCTCATCGTGCCGTCTAAAAACGGCATTGTAATAAGTCCAGTACGAAAAATATGTACAATAAATTAACAAGAAACAAAAACAAGCGAAGACGATCGAATTCGGAGAGGCCTGGATGAGTCTAGCCTTGCAACTTTCTTCTGTTTATGATCTTCGCTAGTTCGTAGAACAAAAGTTTTTATTCAATATAATACTTCATTCTCCGCAAACAAATTTACTATGAATACTTTTTTCATGAGTGTTTAGTCTGTCTGTCTCTCTCTTGCAACTCTAGCACTAATTGCATGCACTGACAGTTTCGTTAACAAATCTGTGCGATTAATGGCGCAACTACTAGACATTTTTAGCAAAACGTCTTAGGAAAATTTCTGGTTAGACTATTTCAGCAGTTTATTTGGAAACAGCTTTATAACTAGCGTGGCCGCGAAAACTATCTAGTGAGGTTTAAAAGTTTTGAAGGATATCACTAATTTAAAAAAAAAAGGAAAAAACAAAAACTTGATATGCTCTTCCAAAAAGGTTGCTGTATCTGCACCATGGATTAACGACATCGAGTATCGTGCTCCCCTACAACCATGCTATCACAGAATTTTTTTGGTAATCTTACAAGTTTCCTTTCTATGATTTTTTATACCAGCGACGTATTCAAGAATATAAAGGAATACGTTTCGGTAAATTTTCACTGGAGAAGACACTTATTGCCTTGAGAGAACACATGTATGTATACTATTTTTTACATTCACTGATTACGAAGCTCTGAAAGCTTTACAGACATCTATTCGCCATCGCAGGCTGCTCCTTTTTCAATTCACGAGAATCGCCAAGTCTTTTTGAGCACAGATATGGCAGGCTTTCCTATTCTGGGTTGATTATCTATGCATTGCCCTGTTATGTACTCACCATTTGTGTGTAAGTCATTGATATTCAGTGTTATGTAATTATCAGCAAGCCGAGAACAGCCCGATTACTCAACAGAATCTCCCCATAAATAAACTTTGCTGGCAAGCGCATGAATTGCCTTTTTTGCATGGCACTTATTGATAATAAGTAGCGCACTGCCCCGATCAGTTACCGCAGCGAGTGTACTTACAGAAATAATAACAAGTAAGAACAAATCAAACGGCATGAGTGGGGCTTTGCTTCAGAGTACAGTACTTGAGAAACGAAAAGGCTTGAAAAATTTTTGTAATTTTTAGGAGAAGAGCACTAGTCAAGGCCTTAAGCCCACACTTAAGCATACTTTTGAGGCGCTCAAAGAGTTTTGGAAGATCCTCGAAATATCCCGAAACATAGTGGCTGGCTCTTGAAAATAACCGGAGAAGCACCACTCCCCAAATGCACACAACGATGGATAGGCACTACTACCACTACTAAATAGCCACTTGTACCCTCCTTATTCAGTCTTTTATTTCCACTCAACTCCTCCTCCGCCTCCGCCTCCTCTTCAACCCTTTCCATTCCACTTCAGGGGATGGGCGGGGCCTGAGGCACACTCCACCAATACCTACTGAGTGCCCAGATTCATTGCACTGCCGATTAGCTGGCGACACATTTACCGTCTACCGACGTTGCGCTGTGCCCATACCACTGCTACACTGCATTACCAGACGGTTTTTACTTTGATTTCAACGCTAATTTAAATTATTTTGTTCAAATGGGATACGTGCGGGCTTGTTTTGCTAGTAAAAAGATGTACCGAGCTTCTAATAGTTCAAAAGAAATTAAGTTCCCTACCGCATTTCTGAGCCTAAATTTTGACTTTTCAAACTTCACTCTTCAAAAGCTATTTGATCCTGCACGGAACGCTCAAATGCATACTGTAAGAATCAGGCGATTGGTCTCCATGAATGCAAGGCAAGGGCTAGAGGAAAAAAAGTGGCCGAGGAAAAAGTTCTTCAGTAAATGAAGACACACATGAACTTATTTATGTGAAAAAAGTAAACTTTTGTAATTTTTAATATGGACGGATGCTTTTCAGGATTTCATAGATTTTCAATCAGTATGTGATAACCGAAGTATTTTTCCTAAAGAGTTTTTGTCTTAATTGAAAACTGGAAGACTGAAGCGCCAGCAACTTTCCTAAATGCAGTCTCCGACTGACAGTTGTGATGCATATTTCTTTTCTACATGTCTGCATAAATCTTGTCGCGGTATACTAACACTCCGCATCACATTTGCTTTTCAGGCCGACATTTAAGAATGGCGCATTTGACATGCGGAAACAGGAAGCTTATCAACAGTGTACTTGTAGCCACAGCCAGAATTCGTTGTCATAGTCCGATCAGTATTCTTGAAATGGCGCTTCTTCTCTTTCCCATCATCGGAGCAGTAAGGTGTACCTTATTTTCAACAATAAAAAACGACTGGTATTAGGGCTATTGCAATCATGCGCTTTTGTTACAAATTGTTCTAGTAAATAGCGGATGGCAGTCCAAATACACAAAAAAGTTGTTGCGATTCCCTATGGCGATCTTTTGAGAGATCAAACACATGTAAACCAGCAAAAATCGCGTCCACAGCTAGCTGTCGTCTGAATTTATGACATTAATGGCAAAGTGGTAGTGATGGTGTAAATAACAGTATAGTGAGGCAAGTTTTCATGATTTATTCTATATAACGTGCAACGCCTAAACTACTAAGGTACAACCATGCGGACGATACGAATGAATTGCTTCTAATGTGAGATATAACTTTCCAAGGAATTGCAAATTCTTGTTTGTTCCGGAGAAGTCAGTGCAAAAAGAAATTCAAGCATAAAATTTATAAGAAAATGCTGTAAACATGATGGGATCAGCTTTGGTGTATATTTTCGCGCAAGCAGCAATTCCTTTTATTTCGTAATTTAGCCTTATCAGCATGCGAAAAGCACTATAAATTTTTTATTTAGAGCTTTTACTGTAGATGAAAGTAGCGACACATCAAAATTTAAAATCCCTGTATTTATTTAACCTACACTGATTGCTAAAGAACTACTTACTTTCCCCGCTGTTGACATTGTCTTATCGTGCCGAATTTTTGTGTTTTTCAGATCTGAACACTAATTTAAATTTGGAGACAAGACCAAAATTGAAAATAAGGTGAGATTCGAAAAATTGTGGGTTAGCTATTCCATGTTACGTTAAATATCAAAACCCAGAAACTTCCAGATTTCTGGCTCATTACATTTTGAAATTTAAAGGTTGCTTAACTTGAATTTGAAATCATTGGGAGTCAGATTCTGATCTAATTTCACGTCATTCACTCAACGTTCTAGACTGCTCTATAATTCAAAATTTCGAGTCTACAGTTTGTCTGCAGTTACTCATCCACAGGCCGTAGGTTATACAGATAAACTCAGAGCAAGAATTAAATATTAATTTAAGTTGTTCTACCTCTGAC